ACCCACACCCACACCCACACCCACACCCACACCCACACCCACGCCCTACCCATACCCACACCCACACCCCACCCAAACCCCACCCACACCCACACCACACCCACACCACACCCACACCCTCAAGTCCCTTTAGCAAGGACGAAACCGGTCGTGGCATTTGCTACTCTACAGAATACTTATATTTCTGTAGGATTTTCAATTACAAATTTAATTTGTGACACTGAAGATAAATCTTGTTTCGGATTTTTCTCTTTAAAAATTCAAAATAGATAAGCCACTTGATAAGTCCCTTTAGCAAGGACGAAACCGGTCGTGGCATTTGCTACCCTTGAGCAAGGTCGAAACCGGTCGTAAGTATAGCTTGTGCTATTAAATGAAATTCAAAATTATACACACCCACACCCACACCCTTTGATGCAGCACTTACCATCTAGATTTATTTATTACGTGAAATATCTATAGACAGATTTTTTCACTGATAGGAGGCCTCGAGATGCTTTAGAATTCTATTGTCTTCTATAGCCTATAAGTGTGACACTAAGGATCTTTAAGACTTCCCGCTTTATCAAAAAAAGAGATTCCTTATGTATAGTTAGATCCGCTTTGCTTTTTTGCATGCCGAAAAAGAGGCGATCTTTCTTAAAATTCTAAAAAAAAAGTAAACTGAAAAAATAGGACGAATACACTAGCACATTTTCACTAGAGTTTCTATATTGTCTGTGCCATAGCATGCTATGACAATGTCCATCCAATTGTCTTGATTCAAATCAGTAACAGCAACTGAATAAGGATAATATTTATAGTTTAATACATACAACATATCATTTCCAAAAGATCCATTTCCGTATCCATGAAGTATAAGTATTGCGTTAGTACCAGAGTTCGCAATAACAATATCCGATCGATTATCATTGTTGAAATCACCTATGGCGACTGTGTACGGACGAGAACGGACACCAGTTGAGTACGTCGCTACAATAGAAAATGTTCCATTCCCGTTACCAAGAAAAATAATAACAGTATTTGTCTCCGAATTGGTAACGACAATATCTAATTGACTATCGTTATTGAAATCACTAATGGCAACAGCATATGGAGCAGAACCAATTCCAGTTGAATAAATTATCATAGTACTAAAAATTCTCTTGCCAAATCCAAGAAAAATACCTATATTGTCAGTACCATAATTAGTCACTACAATATCCGAGTAACCATCCTTATTGAAGTCAGCAACAGCAACTGAATGTGGCTGTGACCCATCACCAGTTGGATAATTTGTTATATCTCCAAAAGGTTCATGGCTGTATCCAAGAAATATGCCTATATTGTTCGATTGAAAATTGGCGACAACTATATCTAATCGTGCATCATTATCAAAATCGCCAATAGCTAATGAGATTGGTACAGATCCTGTTCCAGTTGAATATGCTTTACCGAGTAAAAAAGTTCCATCTCCAACTCCGAAAAGTACAACAATATTGTTAGAATAAGAATTAGCGACAGCAATATCTAATATGTTATCATTATTGAAATCATCAGCGCTAACACATTCTGGGCTAGAATTATCTCCAGAAAAATATGTTACAACACTAGCATAAGATCCATTCCCATACCCAAGAAGAATACCGATATAATTACTATTGAAATTAGCAGTAGCAATATCAGATCGATTGTCATTGTTGAAATCATTAATAATTATCCAGCATGGATTAGATCGATAACCTGTTGAATAGCTAGCTAGTATAGCGAAACTTACATTGCCGTATCCAATGAAAATACATACTTCGTTAATCTCAACATTCACCACGGCAATATCTAATCGACCATCATTGTTTAAATCACTAATGGCTGCTGCATATGGATTGGAAAATTTTCCAGTTGAATATGTTATCATCTTATCAAAATTTCCATTGCCATATCCTATAATTATACCTATACTATTATGTCCAGAATTAACCGCGACAATATCAGTCAGATTGTCATTATTTAAATCGCCAACAGCAGCACTGCGAGGAGTAGAACCATCACCAGTTGAATATGTTATCATATTAGCAAAACTCCCATTGCCATAATTTAAAAAGAGTCCTATATTATTAGCTGCATAATTAACTACAACAATATCCATTTGGTCATCATTGTTGAAGTCCCCAATAGCTAGACTATTTGGATATGAATTAGATCCAGTTGAATAAGTTATCATATCAGCAAAACATCCATCATCATATCCAAGTAGAATTGCTAAATTATTACTATTTCCGCATACGACAGCAATATCGAGATAGTTATCATTATTGAAATGGCCAACAACAACATCATTCGGTGTAAAGCAATCTTTATTTGAATACGTCTTTTGATCTTGAAATGATGCATAATTATGTCCAAAGAATATACCTATATTATCTGTTCCTGAATTAGCAATAACAAGATCCTGTTGGTAGTCGTTATTGAAATCTCCTACAGCTATTGCATACGGACGTGACTCAACTCCTGTTGAATACATTGTTTGCGCTACAAAACTACCGTTGCCATATCCCATTATTACACTGATGCTACTGTTTCTTGAATTTACAACGACTATATCCAAGTCTTTGTCTTTATTTATATCAACAGTTATGACATATTGTGGATAGGCATTGGTTGCAATGGAATACATCATGTTTGGACCAAATGTTCCATTACTCGAACCAAGACGTATTCCTAAATTATCAGTACCAGAATTGACAACAACAATATCTGATCGATTATCTCTATTGAAGTCACCAACAGCTATTGAGTGTGGATGTAGAGCAGAGCCAGTTGGATTGATAGCTTGCTTAGCGAAATTTGCAGCATAATATTGAGTTAAAACACCAACATTATCAGTACCCCACAGAACAACGACAATTTCTAACTGTTTGTCATTGTTAAGATCTTCAACAGCAATACCGTATGGACCTGAATTGAGCCCAGTAGAATACGCCTGTGTGAATTCAAAATTGCCATTGCCATCTCCAAACAAAATAGCTACTTCGTTGCTGGCACCATTGGTGACAACAATGTCATAATAATTATCCTGATTAAAATCCGTAACGACAGCATCGTATGGTGAAGCGCCAGATCCCGTCGAATAAGTTACTTGTGTTCTAAAAGTTCCATCTCCATTTCCAAGAAAAATGCTTACTCCGATATTATTGCTAACAACAACAATATCTAGATGATTGTCTCTATTAAGCTCAGAAAGTACAACCCAAAACGTTTGAGCATTAATGCCAAACGAATAAGTCATTATAATTTCGAAAGTTCCATTGCCATATCCGAGAAAAACCTTTATACTGTCAGGATTTTGAATAGCAACGACAATATCTAAGTGTTCATCATTATTGACATAACCAACAGCAAGTGACATCGGATTAGAAACAGTACCAGTAGAATATGTTTCCATATTAGCAAAAGTGCCATTACCATATCCAAGAAAAATACCAATACTACCAGAACCAGTATTTGCAGAGATCATATCTAATTGATTGTCATTATTAACGTCACTGAGTGCAACAAACCATGGAGTAGAACTATCACCAGTAGAAAATGTCACTATAGTGGAAAAAGTTCCATTATCTTGTCCAAAGAGAACATCTATACAGTTACGGCCTACATTAGCAACAACAATATCTATTCGATTATCATTATTTAAATCACCGACACAAAGATATTGTAGAACCGATTGGTTGCCAGTTGAATATTCCTCTCCTCGAACAAAAGTTCCATCGCCAATACCAGTAAAAATCAGTATATTATGACTATTAACGGCTATATCTAATTTTCCATCATAATTAAAGTCATAAAGAACAAGTGAACTTGGATGAGAGTCATGTCCAACAAAATAATTTCTTATTCTCGTCGATGGTTTACTATAATATCCAATGAGTATAAGAATATTATTATTGCCATTATTGGCTACAACAATATCTGATTGATTATCTTTATCGAAATCAGTGACAGCGACTGCGATTGGACGAGATCCAGTTATTGAGTCGTATGTTGTTAATGTAGCAAAACGTCCATTGCCATAACCTCGAATAATATGAATCTGGTCATTTTCTGAATCAGCGACAGCAAGATCAAGATGGCTATCCTTATCGAAATGACCAACAGCTATGAAGTGTGGACTCGACTCGAAACTAATTGAATATATACTTTGTGATGCAAAAGTTCCGTTAGCATAATCAAGAAATATACTTATATTGCCAGTACCATAATGGGTAACAGCAATATCTAGTTGCTTGTCATTATTAAAATCTGCAACAACAATGGAAGAAGGTTTTGAATTATGAGTAGTTGTATACGTCTTTGGACTTGCGAACGTTCCATTTCCATAACCTAGAAATATACATATATTATCAGTTCCATAATTGGCGACAGCAATGTCTAATTGATTGTCTTTATTGAAGTCACCCACTGCTAACGAACATGGAAGAGAGTCGTAACCGGTTGAATAGGTTGACTGTAATTGAAAAGATCCTTGACCATCTCCTGAAAAGATACCAATACTATTAGTACCATTATTAGCGACGATTATATCCAAATGAGTATCTTTATTGAAATCTCCTATAGTGATAAATAATGGACGAGAAGAATCAGTCGAAATTGTCTTTTGATTATGAAATGTTCCATTTCCATATCCAATAAAAATGCCTATATTATGAGTACCATAGTTAGCGACAGCAATATCTAAATAATTGTCATTATTGAAATCACTGACACTAATTGAATAAGGATGAGATTCTGATCCAGTTGAATATGTTTGTTGGTTGGCAAAAGTTCCATCATTATTTGCAAGAAATATACCGATAGTGTTTGAATCCGAATTGGTGACAACAACATCTATTTGATTATCATTATTAAAATCGCCAACAGCAACAGAATGCGGGTGAGAACTGAGACTAATCGAACTTTTAGTCAGTCTTCTAAATGTCATTTGACATACTGTACCTACAAAAAACATACTGAATAACAATTAATTGTATTTATTAACTTGATGAATGTGTAAATAGAGGAATATTTCCTTTTTACTTGAGAATTAATATTGACAGACTAGGGTGTGGGGTGTGGCTGTGGGTGTGGCTGTGGGTGTGAGTGTGAGTGTATGGTTAATATCTTCTTGAGTCCACACCCACACCCTTACTTTGTATTGTTATACTTCCATACACCCGAATTAATTCAGTTTGATTGATAACGATATTGACTGCTATAGTTGAGTCATAACTCAACTTATTCAAATTGGCGAATTACTACACTCTAAAAAAAACGTTCTCTCGCAAACCGAACTCCTCTCGAAAACCGTTCCGGAAACCTATAAAAGTATCCGGAAGGGTTTCCGGACTGATACTGAGTTCCCCAAAATACCTTGTGGATTTCCGAGTCTTCGGAAACCAATAGGTTTTCGGAAACCCTGAACCGTAGTCTCAGAAACTGTCAAGTGTTTTCGAAACTCCTTCGGTTTTTTCGGAAACCGCTCTTGACTAGAAAACCCTTTCGGAAACTCTTTGGGCTTCAGATTTCTTTTCATCGGATACCCTTTTGAGTTTCCGAGTACTAAAAAGGATGGAAAGGTTTTTTATTAGACTTGCTGGGTTTCCGAACAAGCCTCGAAAACCTCTTAGTGTTTCTGGATATTTCGAAAACCTTTAAGCTTTCGAGGAAAGACGTCGGGAACCCATCATGTATTGTGGAAAACCGAAAATGTGTTTCGTATATGTTTTTTATTCTCACATTTTCACCGCACAATTTTCAAGCTTATAAGTTGCTCGACATGCATGTTATATAAAAAATTAAGCTGGAAATATGTCGCCAATAACGCTAAACAAAATAACCAAAAAAATCAGTGCGAGCATCACGTGCTCCACATTCCAAACACTTAGTTTTCTTACGCTTCAGCACTGAAAGATCAGTGGCGGGTTAAGGAGAAGAGTCCATGGGACTGTCGGCGCCCTTCGCGAAAATGTTTTCGACTTTCCCCAACAAAACCGAGCGAAAACATGAGTTGAAACTGCTCTGGTGACCTCAAGAAGCGGTTTTCACTTTGACGCCTTCGCTTCCTTCAAACATTCTACCTCGATACTTTTCTAATACATCAGAAGATTCCGTATATTTCACACGAAATAGTGCATAATTTCGTAGACTATTAAAAGATTTCGCAGGTTTAGTATGAAATCGTCTATGGTCGCTTTAAATGCTAATAGATTCAGTGTGTTTTGTGCGAAACCATAATCCAAAAGAGTAGATTTGTTACCGAACTCTGAAAGTTTTGTACTTTTCCTACGGAACTTCTTTTAACTTCAGCAGAATTCATAGAGTTTCGCAATTTTAGCACGAAACCTTCTGCAGTTTCCATCATTCCGTTCATGGTTTCGTATATAATAAACTGGAATTTTGATAGCCTCGCAGGATTTTGGAAGGCTTCCTAATATGTTAACGGGACCCTTTCTTACAATGGAACCATCTGAATTGTTAATCGAGTTGAGCGGGCTTGTTCGGGTCAAATTAAC